TCTAAAACCTGTACTTAATTTCCTCTCCCTCGCCCATGTAGAAGACTTCTCTTTCCTTGTTGGACTGTTTCTTGTTGGGGAAGAAGTGCCATGAGCATATCTTTCCTTCATGCCTTCTTTGGTCTCTTTGGAGTGTTATAACAAATGCAAGCAGGACAATTTCTCACCTGATGTCCTTAGCTCCTGTGAATGTTGTTAAATGCGTAAACGTTATTACTTGCCCTGTCTGTGAAGAGATAGTTGAGGAGGAGCTTACCAAATCACTTTGTTGTTTCACATCCCTATTTGCTAATTATTTAACCTATTTATATGATTTATGCTAAAAACTCAAGATACTATGCATCTTTGATAGTATGTTTCTTGATCACAGGAGGCATGTCTGCTAAATCTAGTTACTAAAGAATTTAAGCATCACATAATGTTTTGGGGTTGAATTCTAAAAGAATAACTAACAAAAAGTTAACTACTTACTCTCAGGAATGGAGAGGGGTAAAAAAGATATCTTTTAAAAATGACCAATTATGTTTTGGGGTTTATAGTTTTAGTATACCATGGCATATTAGACAATATCATTACAATATACATACTATGAACCAGTATGAATATAATTCATCAAGCAGTGGAAAAAGTAAGTAAAACTAAAGAAACTTACAGTTAGAGGTGTTACTTACAAGAAAGCTAGAAAAAGATTTTTAGAATTAGCAAACCCATAGGTAGCAAAGTGAAAACTCTGTAATATTTAATGCTGTTGCTAGAAGAATAAATATTAATACTAAGTGAAATTTGTCTAGAGTGAAAACAAAAACTCTTCTATTTTATATAATAAAGTCATCAAAGATGCTCTAAAACTGAATTTTCACAAATAATCCATTAAAAATGTTAACTACATTTTAACCTTTCTGAAAATGCAGTTTGAGAATGTCCAGCTTTATAGGAAATAACCACTTCAGAAGCCACTGTTTACCCTCTGCTGACTGGCATTTTTAAAAAATTCAATTCACCATAGCAACCTGTCTTAATACCAGCAGATAAGCACAGTCTATATTTAGAAATGATTGCTTTCCAGACAGCAATCCTGTCTTTCCTTCATATTTAATGTCATGATCCAAGGGACCAAAATACCACTTATCAGTGAGGCTACAACATGATGACAAGTATACTTGGAGGAATAGAGCAGTGTGTCAGAAATACCAAAAGAACAAACTTTCCACCCAAACTAAAAAAATTTATGAACATTTAAGCAAATACCATTTTTCGTGTTTAAGAAATATATATGTAGATAAAACTATTTTGTCTAATATTTTCTCTTCAGCATAAACTTTTCATTATTAATCACTTATGATTCATATTTCAAAATATATATGCATTAATAGATTGTTATTTCTTGATCACTAGTGATCTATAACATTAAGTATATTTCTATTAGCAGGCTATTGCTTTTGATTTTTATTCATCCCAAGCTGGTATCTGTATTTGAACTATAATCTATACAAGTATACATCTTTTATGTAAGGAATATAAGGAGTATTATACAAAATAGGAAAAATGAATTTATTAAATTATATGGTTACAAAATCACTATGACTTTATTTGTATTTTAATCTTGGTAGTGACAAAAAAGAGAATGTATGAGTTGGATAAGATGGTCTTATACTGTTTGTTTTGAATACTACAGTTACAGTAGTCAAACATGGTAGACACTTTAAATACAATTTCTTGAAGAATCATTTTAAAGCCAACAGTGAAGACAAAACGTGAAGAATTGGTGAACTTTGATTAAAAATACCAGGAAAATTCCTCAGGATGTTGGATAATTACTTCATACCAAGAAGGATAGTAACTATCAAACACAATCATAATAATAGTAAAGATGTAAGTAAGTTGCTTTTGGTTTTTAATCATGTCTCTGTGTGGGGATACATGCATATATTGGGAAGACTAGAATATATTGCTAGTGAAAACGTAGAATAGAACAGTTTTTTGGGAAACAGTCTCATCTCTTCAAATGTTAAAAATAGAATACAATATAATTCAGCAATTCCACTCCTAGGTATATATCCAATTGAAGTAAATTTTAAATTCACATTCATCGGATCAGTAGCCACAGAGTCAAAAAGTAGAAGCTATCCCAGCGATTATTGATAAAATAGATAAGCAAAAACATGGTTTATACATACAAAGTCTTCCACTTTAAATTAAAACTACTAACAGCCTGATAGCCTGTCTTGTGAATTATACTTCTAGCATTATAGATATACCATAAATCTCCCATCAATTGAGCAATTATTTCTTAGTGTTAAACAATACATATCTAGTATTGTAAGTAATGATTTTTGAAAATACTTGGAAATTAAATGAGCCATACCATATACTTCACACCCAACACTCAAACAGCAGGGTGGATAGTACCAATACTTTTCTATAGGTCTTTTCAATCTTTTTCTTTCCCCCAAGGCAGAGTTTCTCTGTAGCTTTGGAGCCTATCCTGGAACTAGCTCTTGTAGATAAGGCTGGCCTCAAACTCACGGAGATTCGCAAGCCTCTGCTTCCCAAGTGCTGGGATTAAAAGTGTATGCCACCACTGCCCGGTGGTCTTTGAGTCTTAAACAACTTTTAACATTTAAAATTGAGTCTAAGTTATAAATTTGCTAGTTAGAAATAAGCAAAAAAGAAAAATCTAAAACATGGGGCTGAAGAAATGGTTCAGCAGTTAAGAGCACTGGCTGCTCTTCCAGAGGACCTGAGGTCAATTCCCAGCACAACATGGCGGCTCACAGCCACCTATGAATTCAGTTTCAGGGAATATGAAACCCTTTTCTGACCTCCGAACACGGTGCACAAACATACATGCAGGTAAAACCTCATAAGCTACAAACAAACAATTGTTTTTGAGTATCTATAAAAGAAATTCAAAACACAAATGTGGTAACTTTTTGTCTCACTCATAGCACTCAGTTAAAACTGTTTTGAAAGTAAAGAGAATTAGGCTCTATAAAGAATGCCAGTTGGACTGGGACTGAACGAGCACGTGATCCAACCAGATTCTCTGAATGTGGCCGGATTCTCTGGATGTGACTGGCCCGGAGTCTTTCTGAAAAGTCATTGACAATGACACTGGGACTTGTTTCCTCTGCATATACTGGACTTTGGGGATCCAGTCTGTTTGGATGCTCACCTTCCTGGACCTGGAGGGAGGGGGGAGGAACTTGAACTTCCCACAGGGCAGGAAACCCTGACTGCTCTTAGGGATGGAGAGGGAGGAGGAGAGGGAGTGGGGAGAATGGGAGGGTGTTGGGAGGAGGGGCGGAAATGGAAACTTTTATAATTTAATAAACTTTGAAAAAAAAAAGAATGCAACTGGCTGGGCAGGGCTGATGCACACCTTTAATCCCAGCACTCTGGAGACAAAGGCAGGCCAATTTCTGTGCTTATGAGGCCAGCCTGGTATACGGAGTGAATTCCAGGACAAACAGGACTGTTACACAAAGAAATCCTGTTTGAGAAACCATTCAATTGACTATAGCTTAAATACCTACATACAGTCATCTCTCCAGAAGAAACACTTTAATTTTTTGTAACTTAACATGCACTACTCTACTTAAAGAGGAAAAAAGTTAAATTATATCATATGAAGAATAATTTCTTATATGATTGAAAATTATATGTATGCAGATATAATATCAAACTAAATTTGATTAAGACTTTTTAGTAGTGCATTAAGATACAAAACTAAAAAGGCCTTATAACACAACAAAAATTGACATATACATATGCAAAGGATACAACTTTTCAATTTTCATTAGAAATAAAAACTAAGCTATTAAAATGGTTAACTATTTAGAAATTTAGTATGCATACAAATTGGCAATTCAAACAGGCACTTTAGTTTTTATTTAGTTAGCTAAAATGAGTGTCAAATTCTACTTGTATTTGCACTTAACAGCTACAGATGGAGATAGGCAAAAATCCCTTAGAAAAAAATAGATTAGATACAGCCTCAACTCAATCTTAACTAGTCAATTTTTACAAGTTGGTAAAAAGACAAAATAATCATACAAGATTTGTGACTTTCTCATCATATTTCTTTTCTAACATGGCATCCCTCCTTAACTATGTTCAAACAGCAGCTTATCCAGTTCATTGCATTTCACTAACTTGTTACAGTGAAATGGATGTAAAATTGTAGGAAACATATTATATATCTTGATAATTACAGGATACCTATCACATATATGTATAGTATGAAATAATCTATCTGGGTTCTGCCCTTCTGAACCTATTTTTCAATAATACAAAATTTCAAAACTTATGGAAATTATTAAATAGCAGTATCATCCAAGAATATATGTTTATAAGGAAGGGAATGATCTGAAAAGCAAACAAAAGAAACAATTTAAAGAAAAGGGAGGAGATGGTGGCAGATGCTTGAGATATATAACACTTGGGAGGAAGAGGCAGGAGGATCATGACTTGGAGGCCAGCCAAGGCTACAGAATGAGTTCTAAACAAGACTGGGCTGAGATGATGTCTCAATAAACAAAAAAATAAAAAATACTGAAAGCTACAAAACTCCAAACATTCTATGGATTGCAGTGGTCTGATATGGAATATCAGATATATGATATAATATAGTTATTATGAATGCTTTATATTTCTAATTTTAAGAATACATAATTATGCAAATAAGATTTTCAAAGAAACTTAAAATTGATGTAAGTAAATTTATTCTCATTTCCCCCAAACAAATCAATTAGTAAGTAGTTTCTTTGACCAATACCTACTGCCACATTACCAGTTACTAATGCTATGAAAGTCAATCTTTCATTATGACAACCATTTCTTCTAATGTTTTTCCTTTCTGTAAAAAGAAACTTCTCCATCAGACTTAACTAAATGTGACAAATTCTCAGAAAAAGTTTAAAATTAGCTGTTAAAACTATTTTAAGCTAATGCAAAAATAAAGTTTTAAATTATACTTAGTGATAAAAACAAGTACTCACAAAGAAGGATCTTGGACAAGATCTTTAAGATTTATCCCACTTCGGTCTTCTGCAAGATTCCTGAAGCAGCTATCACTCACTAAACAAGAAAAGGAGAAAGAAAACAAAATTAATTTTTATGTTTCACTATAGCTAGTATCGCCCAAAAGTAATTTTTAAATGAAATTTATCCTTTATATTTCTTTTCTACATATCAGCATTAAGTTTTTGCTTTTACTTTTTCCCCAGAGTTTTTCTGTGTGCTATGGAGCCAGTCCTTGAACTCACTCTGTAGACCAGGCTGGCCTCGAACTCACAGAGATCTGCTGCCTCTGCCTCCTGAGTGCTGCTGGGATTATAGGTGTGTGGAATCACCACCAGGCATATTAATGTTTTTTGAGGAGAAAAAATATTAATGGTCAACAACAAGGCCAACATTTCAGTGACAAACAGCTAATTAAAATACACTAACCTTATATAAATGTGATCTATAAAGCAATTAAAATGTGGAAATTTTTTTTCACTTCTAGAAGATTAATCTACTGATACATAATGGCAAGTCCCTGATCCCACAATACAGAAAGTAAGAGACAAACAACACTGCTACCCCTGCCATAACATTTGTTTGAAACAGTAGAGAGTAATGAAGATAAAAGTATAATAGCTTCTTAGGTAATTTCAGTCTGCTGATTGTTTGGATTTCTGGGAACATTTGCCATTTACATAGACTAAGAACAAAAGTGATTATTTGGAAAAAGAAAAATCACCATCGCTCTTGATATTTGCAGACCAGCAGGACAGACAAGAAACCAGTGAAGTTCAAAACAATAGTTTTGGAGGATAACTGGTTCCTATCTCCTGTTCATTTAGAATTAAAGACAAAGAACTATCATGCCCATGTTTACTGTTTCACCCTATGGACACTACTTGTAAACAATAGCTTACAAGTATGAGATGGAGCACAAAATATAATAATGATCAAGTTAAAAAAGAATACAAGACACTACAGATGATAAAGAGTTTAAAAACTTAAGAAAACTACTTAATATGACAGATTCAACGCAATGCCCATCAAAATCCCAGCAAAATTCTTCACAGACCTCAAAAGAACAGTATTCAATTTCATATGAAAAAGCACAAAACCCAGGATAGCCAAAACAATTCTGTACAACAAAGAACTTCTGGAGGCATCACAATCCCTGACTTCAAACTCTACGACAGAGCAACAGTACTGAAAACAGCCTGGTATTGGCATTAAGAACAGACAGAAGGACCAATGGAACCGAATAGAAGACCCTATTATTAATACACACATCTTCGAACACCTGATTTTTGACAAAGAAGAAAAAAATGTCAAATGGGGAAAAAAAGCATATTTAACAAGTGGTGCTGGCATGACTGGATATCAACATGTAGAAGAATGAATTAGACCCATATCTATCACTATGCACAAAACTCAAGTCCAAATGGATTAAAGACCTCAACATAAAGCCAGCCTCACTAAACCTTACGGAAAAGAAAGTGGGAAGTACACTTGAACGCATTGGCACAGGAGACCACTTCCTAAATATAACCCCAGCAGCACAAACACTGCAAGAAACATTAATAAACGGGACCTCCTGAAACTGAAAAGCTTCTGTAAAAGCAAAGAACATGGTCAACACGACAAAACAACAGCCTACAGAATGGGAAAAGATCTTCACTAACCCCACATCAGACAAAGGTCTGATCTCCAAAATATACAAAGACCTCAAAAAGAACAAATAATCCAATTTAAAAAATGGAATACAAACCTAAACAGAGAACTCAACAGAGGAATCTAAAATGGTCATCAGAGAAATGCAAATCAAAACAATTCCATATTACACCTGAAAGAATGGCCAAGATCAAAAACACTGATGACAATTTATGCTGGAGAGGTTGCATTGCTGGTGGGAGTGCAAGCTGGTACAGCTCCTTTGGATGTCAGTGTGGCAATTTCTCAGAAAATTAGGAAAAATCCTTCCTCAAGACCCAGTAATACCACTTTTGGGTATATATCCAAAGGATGCTCATTTGTGCTACAAGGACATGTGCTCAACTATGTTCATAGCAGCTTTGTGTTCATAGACAGAACCTGGAAACGACCTAAATGCCCCTTGATCGAAAAATGGATAAGGAAAATGTGGTACATTTATACAATGGAGTACTACTGAGCAGAAAAAAAATAATATCTTGAAATTTGCAGGCAAAGGGATGGAGCTAGAAAACATTATTTTGAGTGTGGTAACCCAGACACAGAAAGACAATTATCACATGTACTCACTCATAGGTGGTTTTTATACATAAAGCAAAGAAAGTCAGCCTACAAACCACAATCCCAGAGAACTTAGAGAACAAGGAGGACACTAAGAGAGACTTACATAGATCTAATCTACATAGGAAGAAGAAAGTAGAAAAAGACAAGATCTCCTGAGTAAACTGGAAGCATGGGGACCTTGGGGGAGGGGAGAGACAGGAAGGGGAGCAGAGAAAAATGTAGAGCTCAATAAAAATCAAGAAAAAACTATTTAATATGAGGCAAAAAAACTTTAGCAATAGTCTAAAAAGGAATAGTCAACAAAAAATTAAAATCTACCAAGGAGACTTAGATAATTTTAGAAATGATATGTATAATATGTGAAATTATGAAGCTGGCAGGTTCATATCCAACTCAACAGAGCAAAATCTAAGAATTGATTTTAACTGAAGAATTGAACTTAAAGAAAAGTCAGCTGACAGATATCTGAAATTAGAAAAAAAAAGAGTATAAACTATATAGAAATCAAACAGTGAGACATATAAACAGGAGAGAATGGAAGAGAAAACAATAACTTTAAAGAAGAATAAAAACTTCTGAAAATCCATAAAAATTGATTTAAAAAAAAAGGCTAAGTAGACTTAGAAAAATAGCAAATGCCACACTAAAAAAGTAAAGATTTACAATGAAGGGTAAAAACGTTGTAGGGAAGTGATGGAGTGATCAAGGGGTATTTATTAATCACAAAAGAAAAGGATAACGTTGCAATGAAGAAATTAGATAAACAACATCTTGCTTATTTGTTTGTTTTGTTGCTGTTTTTCAAGACAGGGTTTCTCTGTGTCACGCTTGCCATCCTGGAACTTTATTAAACCAGACTGATCTCGAACTCAAGAAATTTGCCTCCTGAGTTCTGGAACTAAAAGAAGTGTGCCACCACCACCTGGCCGATAAACAACATTTTAAAGAAGTTATCTAAATCAGCTGTTCACCATTACGCATGGTTATATTTTTTTCAAACATCCCATTTTAACTGTGGTAAGATGATACTTCATTTGCATTTCTATGTGATTCATAGTACTGAGCATCTTCCATAAATTTGTTGGTATTATTACTTTCTCCTTCTGAGAAATGCCTATTCATATTATTTGTCCATCTTTTATAGTTATTAGTTTTATATGGGTTGGGGGGGCACATGTCATGGCACATATGAGCAGATCAAAGAATAACTTGTAGGAATAGGTTCTCTTCTTCCACTATGTAGGTTCTGGAAATCAAACTCAGGTCATCAGACATGGTAATAAATGCCTTTGTGCACTGAGGCATCTCAATGGCCCATTTCACTGGTTCATTGTTAAACTGATTATTTGTTAAACTCAGGGAGATGCCATTGTAATGTGAAGTAACTTTTATATTCAAAATATTTTCTTAATAATTAAAAATAATTACTATATTAAAATATTAAATTGGGTGAGTCACAGACATTTATACACATTTAACATCTTTGAGTGTATGTATCTGTGTGGTATACACATGTTTATATGTACATGTGTATACACACACACATTTAGAGGCCAGAGGTCAATACATGTGTCTTCCTTAAACAGTCTCCATTCTACCTTTTGAGAAAGGGTCTCCACTGAACTTAGAGCTCAGAAATTCAACTAGATTAGACCAGTGGGCAAGCACTGCCTCCAAGGAGCTGAAATTATAGGCTCAAGTAATCATGGCTTGCTTTTTAAACAGGCACCTGGGGATACAAATGCAGGTTCTCATTCATGTGCAGAAAGCACTTTACCAACTGTTTAGGATACTACTGATGACAAAACACCATGACAAAAAGCAACCTGGGAAGGAAAGTGTTTATTGCAGTTCACAGTTCCACAACAGAGTCCATCACAGAGAAATCAGGGCAGGAGCTATGAAGCAAGAGGTAATACAGAGACCATGATGCTACTTATTGGCTTGCTTCCCAAGGCTTGCTTAGCCTAGACAGGCACCGCCCACAGTGAGTGGGCCCCTTCCTCACACATCATCAATAAACAATATGCACCACAGGCTTGCCCAGAGGCCAAAATTGTTGGGTAATTTTCTCATTTAGGCTCCTCGTCCCAAATGACTCTAGCTTTTGTCAAGTTGGCATTAAACTTGCCAGCACATTGACTGTGCCATCAAACCAGACCCAGTATTATTTTTTCGGGGGGGGGGGTGTTCTTTTTTTTTCATTTTATTTTTCCATTCAAATATTTACACTTCCCTCCTCCCAATCCCCTCCTGCTCCCCTACACCCCTCCTCCCTCTCCCACCCTGCTTGAGAGAGGGCAGGGAAACCTGCACTGTGGGAAGTCCAAGGTCCTCTCCCCTATATCCAGGCCTAGGGAGCTGTGCATCCATATAGACTAGGGTCCCAAAAAGCCAGAACATGCTGTAAAAACAAGTCCCAGTGCCTTTATCAATAGCTTCTCAGTCAGCCCCCATTGTCAGCCACAATCAGAGAGTCTGGTTTGATCACATGCTCATTCAGGCCCGGTCCAGCTGGATTTGGTGAGCTCCCATTAGAACAGACACACTGCCTCAGTTGGTGGACAAAACTCAAGTACAAATGGATTAAAGACCTCAATATAAATCCGACCACACTGAACCTGATAGAAGAGAAAGTGGAAAGTAGATTGCAACACATGGGCACAGGAGACCACTTCCTACATATAACCCCAGTAGCACACACAATAAATAAGGGCAACATTGAATAAATGGGACCTCCTAAAACTGAGAAGCTTCTGTAAAGCAAAGGACACTGTCATTAAGACAAAAAGGCATCCTAC